TAACCCTGTACAACACCAAAGGATTCTGACGGGGGATCCGAAGTGCCGCTCAGGCACCGATGGTGTAGAAAGTTGTCCAGGTGATGCTCCCATGTGGCCACGGTTGAGAAGCACTGTTTAATGATCCGTGTCTGAACTCATTCTAACTAACACTGAAAAGTCATCTCCTGAGAGGCCCCCGGCGGGAGGAACGCGGGGCCCCCTCCTCTGTGCTTCCACAGAGCTTGGTGCCACACCCTGCCAGAGGAGTGTGGTAGTTTATGGCATTAGTGTGGTTGGGTCAGGCTCCCACTGTCCTCTGAGCTCCTCCGGGGTGGGACCACCGTTAGATTGATCCACGGGGCCTGTTCCAGGGGTCAGAGTTCTTACCTGGGCCTCCAGAACCCTGCATGGTCTGGCCTGTGCCCACCCCTCCAGCCTCTTTCAGAACTATTGGCCCCTTCACTCATCCTGGTTGTCTTCTCCCCAGTCCTTGAATGCACTTGACCCCTCCCATCTCAAGGCCTATGCATACGCCCGTCCCTGTTACCTGCAACTTTCACCTGCCTCTTCATTTAGCCGCTGCTTGTCCTTCCGCCTCTACCTTTGCTGTGTGAAGCCTGGCCTTGGCATTGGCATCACCGGGTAACTTGTTAGAAATGCAGAATATAAGGCATTTGTAGTTAACAGGGATTAACAGGTCTCCAGAATGTGGAGAATGCTATGATGGGTAGTTCTGACTCAAAAATATGATGGGGGTGGAGGCAGGTGAGGGTCCCTTTTCAGAACAGAGGAATGCTGGGTGAACAACAACAACAAAATGTCCACCATAATGATGGTGTCTACACAGTAGAAGACCGTTGACCACCAGGCCCGCTCTGGCTGGACCAGAGGCCGTGAACTCCAATGCCCACAAGGGCTAGAAATGAGTGAGTCAATGTATTTGCTTTCCTTTTTTTTTTTTTTTTTAAAGATTTTATTTATTTATTTGACAGAGACAAGAGACAGCAAGAGAAGGAACACAAGCAGGGGGTGTGAGAAAAGGAGAAGCAGGCTTCCCGCCAAGCAGGGAACCCGATGTGGGGCTCGATCCCAGGACTCTGGGATCATGACCTGAGCCGAAGGCAGATGCTTAAGACTGAGCCACCCAGGCGCCCCTTTGTTTTCCATTTGTTAGCTGTTATATATTATATACTTGATTACAAACTTGATGGCTTAACACAACACAAACTTAGTATCTTGCAGTTCTGTGGGCTCTGAAATGGTTGTCACTGGGCTGAAATCGAGGTGTTGGCAGAGCTGTGTTCCTTCTGGAGTCACTGAGGGAAAAGTGTTCCCTTGCCTTTTCCAGCTGCTTGCATTCTTTGGCTTCTGGCTGCATGACTCCACCCTCCGCCTCTATCATGTGTCCTCTGAGGCTGACATCCCTGTCCCTCTTTGGTAAGGACCCCTGAGATTACATTGCACTCCCCCCACCCATCTCATCCGGGATAATCTCCCTGCCTCAAGATCTGTAACTCCAGATGTCCTGCGCCGCCCCATGCTCTGCTTCCAAGTCGGTGTGATTCGTGTGCTTGTGCACGAGCCGGCATCTAGCCTGAACTCAGGCCACGCACCTCCTGCGTGTCCTTGGCAAGTCCCTCTCCCTTTCTGGCTCTCAGCTGACTCACCTATAAACTGAGGCGCAGAGGGAGGGAAAGGGAAAGGAAGCCAGGCAGGTGGGAGGGAAACGGAGTTTGTGGTCAGTACTCAGGGTTGGTTTGACAACGTTCTGACTTTGGTCATGTTCCCACAGTGTAAATGTCACAGAGTGTAGAGGCTCACTCCGGAGAAAAGGAGGGGGGAAAGGGTATATTTGGGTTTGCTTTTACATGCATTGTTATTTTTAAATTTTCATTCCCCGAACTCCCTCACTATCTTGACCCAGTTTCCATCTCCAGTTCAAAGGCAGAGAGCGGAGGCACCTGTTGTGCTCGGTGTAGAATAAAAGCCCAGTGCCGCTTGCGTGGCTTTTGGTTTGGAATCTGTCTGATCCATTCATTGTCTCAGAGGCAGGAATCTTCTCTAGGAACTTCCTAGACATATAAGGCTCCAAAACGCCAAAGGATAGAAATAGCCTCTCTTCCCCTACCAGCCAGTGTAAACACATCCCTGGGTGACATTCCTTGCTGACAATGACCTGGCTATGGCTTGTGTTATCTCACGATTTCCCCTTCAATCCTTTTAGTCCAAACACACAGTGGCTCCAGGCCCGACATCCGTTCTAGAGGCCTGGATCTTTTTTGCCAATTTAAAAGCTGAATCCAAAACATTCCTGAACAGTTGTCAACTCTCTGCAAAAATAATGAATGCATTTTACCCTGAGCCGCTGCCTATTTGTGCTTCTCTTCAAACTGTAAATGTCAAGCATTGTGGAAGGTTTTTACTTTCTAATTTTTGGGACGCTTTTACAAATGCCTTGTGATGGGATTACTTTGGTGAGTTCTGATGACAGCCACAGCTTGTGAAATGTCAAGGGTGGGCGTGCCGAATGGAATCTAGATAGAGACAAAGCATTCGCTGGATTAGTCCCTTTCTGAGAACCATCCATGGTAGAGTCATAGAATCCCCAAAGACCACTTAGGTCGGTCCTCCCCACATATAGCTGCATGTCTGGAGAATGTGTAGAACTTAAAAAAATTCCTGGGTCTCAACCAACATCTAAAAATTTAGAATCTCTGAAGGTAAGACCCAGAGAGGTTGTGGGGTTTGTTTATATATATATATATAATATATACTTTTCAGGCAGTTCTGATGCACATCTATGTCTGGAAGCCCCTTGTCTTATTCAGTCCTTTTTTGGGTACTCCCCTCTACAGGATTTTGCCAAATGGTTGTCTATCCCTTCTTGTACTCCTCTAGGGATGGGGGACTCACTGCCTTTCAGAGCAGCCCCTCCTATCCTTCCTTAGCCAGCTCTGCTTTGTCAGGAAGTTCTTTCTCTGCCCCCTGTAACTTCCCCTGGACTCCACAGATGCCCGTCTTTGTCCTTTGGAGATTTGGAGGGCACAAACTTGTCCCATGAGTGGACACCCCAGTTCCTTCAGCTGTTCCTCCCAGGACACAGCCTTCAACCTCTCCCTACAGGGCTACTTCCTGTCTGCCACTGGCCTCTCACACCTGCCACAGCTTTCCAAGTGGTCGTGAAAACTGATACTCCTTTTGTCGTGGACTCACTGCTTCTACCAATGAGGCTGTTAATAATTGACTGAATAAGTATTAAGTCAGTCCATCACGGAGTGCCAAGTGCCCAAGGGGTGCTAGGTTGGCCATGTGCTGTGGGAGAGGCAGAAGGGACTTTGCAAGGGGCTACACGGTTGTGGGGGGAGCCAGAGGAAAACACGAACATAGCCGTGGCAAGACACGAAACGCACTGCTTTTGGTGGACAACTCTATTTTGCGGCAAGGACTGTAAACATCCTAAGGATGACATGGTCACAACAGATTCCAAAGAGATGTAGCTTAAGGAAACAACAATGTCCATCAGCCAGGTTCAAGCAGGAAAACGTGAACACTAAAAAATGTGCAGAGGTAGGGATTTAATATGGAGAATCAGGTGCTGACAGAATTGCTGGAAGGGCTGGAGGGAGAAGCTGGACAGATTCCCAGCACAAGATGGACATGACCCATCAGTCTCCTTACTGTCTGAGGCCACCTCTGGAGCTAGTTAGCTGCAGACACACCCCTGCAGCCATGATTCAAAAAGCAGGTGGTCAGAGTTTCATTTCCAGGAAGCTAGAGAAGGGACGAGGAACAGGAATGCAGGAAATCCTCACAATCCACCATCCTGTCAGTGATGCCCCCAAAGGGGCACGACAATACCCTCCGCCCTCCACATCTGACAGGGGTACTGCTAATCAGAAGCACCTAGTTCACTCCAGAGCTCTAGCTGCAAACAAGGTGGGAAACAGCTCTTAGCTTCCCATGGTCTCCAAGCAGAAGGAAGGTGCAGTGGAGGCGGGGTGAGTCAGAGATGTGTGGTTAGCATGCTTTATGGCAATGAAATGGACACAATCTAAATGTACACCCACGGTCTACCCTACCACTTCGGAGAGGATGATGTTGCCTTTTAATCAACATGACATGAGAAAAGGTTCATAAATCACTAAGTTAAAAAGAAAAAAAAGAAAAAGAAAGCAGGCAGCAAAATAGAGGTCACCATATAATTTCTTTTTGATTAAATGAATTTTTGAAAAATATGAAGTTAAAAATACCAGCAAGATAAATGACAACTTTTGGGTGAAAGGAGTGAAGGTATTTTTTTTCCCTAAAGGTCAAAAGTATAATTTCATAATGATGTAAGGTCAATACATATGTCATAATAATCATAAATATGTATGTACCTGATACATGAAGCAAAGACTGATGGAATTAAAAGAAGAAGTAGATCCACAATTGCCACAGATTTTAACATTTTTCTCAGAAATTGACAGAAAAACTGGATTGAAGGTTTTGAAAAATTCTTGCAACCTTTTCCGTGTTTTCCAAGCTTGCTACGTTGTGCATATATTCTTTTTGTCCTAGGACAAAAAAACCGCATTTTTTAAAAAATCACACAAAATCTTAAAGGTGCAGGGGAGGGGGCGGGGCGCGAAGAGCAGCGAAGGTGGAAGACAGTGAGAGGGGAGGCACAGAGGGGTCAAGGAGAGGCTCCAGGATGAGGACCTAACAAGGTGCAGCTTATGGAGAAGTGCAAACTAACTGGAGCGCTAACTCTGTGACCCGCGGAAGGCCTGCCCCATTCTGGGTCTTTGTTTCCGCTCCCAAACGAGCGCCTTAGGACCGCAGCTTGAGCGGCGGAGCAAAAAAGGCGCTCCAGCGTGCCGGGAGATCCGGGGCCGGGGGAGGGGGGTGGCTGGGACCCGGGAAGCGCGGGCGGGGGGGCACTGCTCCCCACCCCCAGCTCCGACGCGCCCGCGCCTGGGGAAAGGAGCGGCCTTGGCCTCGGGCCGCAGATAGGCGACGCCCAGGACGCAGGCGGAGCCTTTCGGCGGCTGAGCCGCTGCGCGGAGGCGGGACCTGTGGCGAGCAAGCGGCGGGAGGCTGGGCTAGAGCTGCGAGAGCCTGAAGCTGCGCCGGAGCTCGAGCCCGCCGCAGGTAATTAGCGCCCTTCTCCCTCGGCCCCCAGGCAGGCCGCGGCTCCCCTCCCTGCGATGGAGGCTACCTCTCTGGGTCTCCGCTTTCCCATCTGGGGACTGGCCGTTCAGCCGGGCGTGTGCTGTGGGACCCTCTCCAGGCTAACAGCCTTGCGCCTGCACCCGGGTGCCTGGGTGGTTCCTGTTGGGCTCAGAGGACGCAGACCCCCCTGAAACCTTACCTTCTTAGCTCGACCTCATCGCCCCTGCCCATCCAGTCCACTCCAGCAGAGAGCCCCTCACTGTAGCTGAGAGGCCAAGACACGTGTCACCTCCCTGCAGAAAGGGTGAGGTTGGTGCCATTCATACTGGATGATTCCGAAGGTCCGGTTCTTGGCACAGTGGACACTAATACTGGGATCCATAAGAAATTGCCCATGGCGCCTGGGTGGCTCAGTCGTTAAGCGTCTGCCTTCGGCTCAGGTCATGATCCCAGGGTCCTGAGATCGAATCCCACATCGGGCTCCCCGCTCCGCGGGAGGCCTGCTTCTCCCTCTCCCACTCCCCCTGCTTGTGTTCCCTCTCTAGCTATCTCTCTCTCTGTCATATAAATAAATAAAATCTTTAAAAAAAAAAAAAAGAAATTGCCCATGGTCAGGAGAAAACTCAAAGCTAGAGCTAGGGCTATGGGAATCCGGGTTGAGGCTCTTATTTTTACTTGCTGTGTGTCCTCTGTGAGCCCACAGACCTCTCTGATTCCCAGCCTTCTTCCAGAATGGGGGTCATGATCATCTACCCCAGGGGTTACTGGGAATCTCCGTGACTTAACTGCTAAGAAAATGGCCTGCAAACTGTAAAGTGTGGTGTGCTGTGATCTTACAAATACAAGTGAAGTCTCCAAGCACAGACCCCTTTTAAGCCCCTAGAAGAGGAACAGCCTTGGCTAAGCATGAAAGATTTGCCAGCCTTGGTCTATGACTATCTCTCTCACCTGTTTAGCCCCTCCATCCCCCACCTCTCCATGGATTGGTTTCCCCCACTTAACCTCCCCTGGGATCCCTCCCTCCTCAGATCCAGGCCTTTGGACCCAAAGCTGCTTCTGTCCCAGCATGGGACAGAGCTCTGAGCAGAATGGAAACTGAGTGCACCCCTGACAGGTCTGCTGGCTCAACTACCCTCCAAGGTAGGGTTTTCTTGGGCAGCACTGATTTGTATGAAGCTGGGGGACCTGGCTGGGGCTTTGCTTTCCAGGATGCCCACTGGCAGAGGGTGGGGGGTGGAGAAGCCAGGTGCAATTCCTTTTGGCTTCTGGGTGGGTCAAGACTCAAGTGAGACAGAAAAGATGGAGGGATTGATGTCCTGGCTAAAGAGTAAGAGTTTCAATGAATCTAGGAATTTAAGACACCATTTGCATTTCATTGAATACATTTTATATACTGTTTAAATTTTATAATTGTTGTTTTAATAAAGTCTGCACTGTTTCAGAGTCGTAGGGAAGAATAAACAGGCCCTTCTTTCCAGTGGCTTCCAGATTTGCTGCGCTCCTGGGAAGCTGAGACCTATGTCCCCGGGGGCCGGGCTAGGCTGGTTTCTGAGGGCGAGCCAGTTCTGATGGGCTGGGCGGATGGTCTCCAGGCTTTTAAGTGCACGGCCCCATTCAGTGTAACCCCATGAGGCCTTTCACATAAGAGGAAACTGAGGCACAGAGGGGAAGTGAAGCAAACCCTTGTCTCAGAGACAACTCTGTCTCTCAGTCCCTTTGGTTTCTACTCCATTGTGAGGTCAAATTGTGAACAGTGTTTGTGGAAGTTTTGATGTATGTCACTGAATACAACCGAATAACTCTGTAGCAGGCATACTTCGGGGCATCAGGAACACAGCAATGAACGAACCAGGAAAAAAAAATGCCTGCCGTCTCAGAGTGGATGTTTAATTGGGGAGAGGCAGACAAGAAACAAATACGTGTGTAAATATACTCTCTGGTGTGTCAGATGGGGAGAAATAAAGCACAGGAATGGGGGACAGTGTGCTGGCAGTGAGAAAAGTTGCAGTCCTGTAATTTTTTTAAAGGGCAGTCAGGGAAGGCCTTGCTGAGCAGGTGACATTTGATCCAAGACCCAGAAGAGGTGAGGGAGTGAGCTGGAGGGTAGATGGGACATGAGGGAGTTGGAACCAGAGAGTTCTTTAGGGCCATTGCCCCGTACCCCCAGCCCTGACGCACCCACACCTTTGTACTGCTTACAATCCACATTGTTAGAGGTGGCACCCCTTTACGCTAGCATCTTGGAACGTCTGAGCTGGCGGGCCTTTGGGGGACCACTTGGCCCGCTCTCACCTGTTCACTCTGGTTCCTCCTGTCCCCCTCCAGAGTCGTAAACATGCTGCGCTTCCTGGTGCCCCGGTTGCTTTGCCTCCATGGCAGGACCGCCCCGTACTCTTCTGCAGCGGCCCTTCCGAACCCCATCCCGAACCCAGACATCCGCTACAACCAGCTGTTCATCAACAATGAGTGGCAAGATGCAGCCAGCAAGAAGACCTTCCCGACAGTCAACCCCGCCACGGGAGAGGTCATTGGCCACGTGGCTGAGGGGGACCGGGCTGACATGGATCTGGCAGTGAAAGCAGCCCACGAGGCCTTCCGCCTGGGGTCTCCATGGCGCCGGATGGATGCCTCAGAGCGCGGCTGCCTGCTGAACTGCCTGGCCAACCTGGTGGAGCGGGATCGTGTCTACCTGGCCTCCCTGGAGACTTTGGACAATGGGAAGCCTTTCCAGGAGTCTTACGCCTTGGACCTGGATGAGGTCATCAAAGTATACCGGTACTTTGCTGGCTGGGCTGACAAGTGGCACGGCAAGACCATCCCATGGATGGCGAGCATTTCTGCTTCACCCGCCATGAGCCTGTTGGCATCTGCGGCCAGATAATCCAATGGAACTTCCTCTTGGTCATGCAGGGCTGGAAGCTCGCCCCAGCGCTGGCCACCGGCAACACTGTGGTCATGAAGGTGGCAGAGCAGACCCCCCTGTCTGTCCTGTACTTGGCCTCCCTCATCAAAGAGGCGGGCTTTCCCCCGGGGGTGGTGAACATCATCACTGGCTATGGCTCCACAGCGGGCGCAGCCATCGCCCAGCACATGGATGTCGACAAAGTTGCCTTCACCGGCTCTACTGAGGTGGGCCACCTGATCCAGAAGGCGGCCGGCGATTCCAACCTGAAGAGAGTCACCTTGGAGCTGGGTGGGAAGAGCCCCAGCATCGTGCTGGCCAACGCGGACATGGACCACGCCGTGGAGCAGTGCCACGAAGCGCTGTTCTTTAACATGGGCCAGTGCTGCTGTGTGGGCTCCCGGACCTTTGTCGAAGGATCCATCTATGACGAGTTTCCTGAGAGAACCGTGGAGAAGGCTAAGCAGAGAAGGGTCGGGAACCCCTTTGAGCTGGACACCCAGCAGGGGCCCCAGGTGGACAAAGAGCAGTTTGAATGAATCCTGAGCTACATCCGGCTTGGCCAGAAGGAGGGGGCAAAACTTCTCTGCAGCGGGGAGCGTTTTGGGGAGCGCGGTTTCTTCATCAAGCCCACGGTCTTTGGTGGCATGCAGGATGACATGAGGATCACCGGAGAGATCTTCGGGCCTGTGCAGCCCTTATTTAAATTCAAGAAGATGGAGGAGGTGATCGAGAGGGCCAACAACACCAGGTATGTCTTGGCTGCTGCCGTGTTCACCCGGGACCTGGACAAGGCCATGTACTTCACGCAGGTGCTCCAGGCCGGCACAGTGTGGGTAAACACCTACAACGTTGTCACCTGCCACACGCCTTTTGGAGGGTTTAAGGAATCTGGCAATGGGAGGGAGCTGGGGGAGGATGGGCTTAAGGCCTACACGGAGGTGAAGACCGTTACCATCAAGATTCCTCAGAAGAACTCGGAAGAATGGCTGCCACAGGGACCCACCTCCAGTCCAGAGTTTCCATAATCACCTAGACCATGGTTGCCAAATAGTTTTTTAGCCTCGGACCCTACTTTATTTGTTCCAAATGAACTCTTAGAGGGAAGCTCAGCAAATAAAGCAATTAAAATGAGAACTGCTCTTGTTAAAGCAGGACTGGGGACTGGACTCAAAAGTCCTATCCACCTGTGCCTCGGCCCCAGCCCCCTTGGTGGCCCTGAGTTACTTCCATGAAATCTTGGGAGTCTCTGGAAAATAGATTAAAAACCACTGATCTGGACAGTGGCTTTTAGTTCTTTCTTCTGATCTGAGGACTTCCCCATGTATTAATCTAATGGCTTAGTAGATGGACTCAGTTCAGACATAGGATCGGGAGGCATCAGGAGTTTCAAACTAGGTGGATGCCAGATCTTGGCCCCATTCTTCAATGACTTAACCCAAAAATCAAGGATGCTTCTCCTTTTTTAAGTACCAGTTGCCAGCTGTTTTGCTTGCTTACCCTGCATTTTGCTGCTGATTATCATTACTTTGAGGGAAAAAGTGGGCAAAGAATGCATTTATCTTTTTTTTTTTTAATTTTTAATTTATTTATTTGAGAGAGAGAGAGAAACAGCATGAGAGGGGATAGGGTCAGAGGGAGAAGCCGGCTCCCCGCTGAGCCGGGAGCCCGACGTGGGACTCGATCCCAGGACTCCGGGATCTTGACCTGAGCCGAAGGCAGTCGCTTAACCAACTGAGCCACCCAGATGCCCAAAGAATGCATTTATATAACCACTCCTTTAAAATAAACTCAAACAACCCGAGTGTCCATTAGCTAGTGAGTGGGTAAATAAAATGTTTCCATGGAATATTCCCTGTGCTAGTCAGCCATAAAAAAGGAATGAAGTGCTGATACATGAGGCAACATGGATGAACCTTGAAACCTTAGGCTGAGTGAAAGAAGCCAGACATACATACAAGGCCACATATTGTATGATTCCATTTATATGAAATGTCCAGAATAGGCAAATCCAGAGACAGAAAGTACATTGGCGGTTGCCAGGTGTTGGGGGAGGAGGGAATGAGGAGTAACTGCTAATGGGTATAGGATTTCTTTTGGGGAGGTTTCAAAGGGTTCTGAAATTGGATAGTAGTGATGATTGCACAACTTTGTGAATATACTGAAAAGTACTGAATTGCACAGTGATTCACATAAAAGGGTGAATTTTATGGTGTGTGAATTAATTTCAGTTAAAAATTAAATAAGAGATACCCATACATTATTTGCCAGTCAATTTTTTTAATCAATATTCTCTTACAACTGAAAATTTTAGAGTCTTGGGGATGGAAGGGACCCAGGTAGTCATCTAGTCAGGTGCGAAAGTCCTCTCCCCAATATATTTCTAGTTGCATTTTTGTTTTCTCTCAGCTGGGTGACAAAGTGCAACTTTAAGGCCCACAGAGAAAAGCCTTGGTTCCTGCCTAGAGCAAGTCCATCTGAGTTCCCATTTCGGACCTTCCACACTGTCCCCCAGCCCCTACCCAAACACACCACCCCTCAAGCAGAGCCCAGCATCGGGGCCATTCTGACATGCTAGGGGTTTCCAGAATTTTATTTATTTGTTTTTATTTTTTAAAGATTTATTTGAGAGAAAGAGGGCACATGTACTTGTTCATGTAAGCGGACTGGGGGGTGGGGCGTTGCAGGAGAGGTGGAGAGAGAGAGTGAAGCAGACTCCCTGCTGAGCACAGAGCCTGACACAGGCTGATCTCAGGACCCTGAGATCATGACCTGAGCTGAAATCAAGAGTGGGATGCTCACCCCACAGCTACCCAGATGCCCCAGTTTCCAGAATTTTAAACCTCAGAGTTCAGTGTATTCACTGTTAGTCTCCTGACTTCATTCCCCATCTGAAGGGAGTAAATCCAAGCCAGCCAGACCATGGTACAGAAATAAGGCTGATCCTTTCTCTCCTCGTCTTCCATCTTTCTAGACCATGTTGCTCACGAATCACCACACTTCTCGGTCCACTCAGTCTTGGGAATGCACAGCTTTGGTCATCTCTTTAATGTCCTGTTATCTCACCGAGGCATCAGGATGATTTTGTTCTGTGTCTTTAGGAGTGGACCCGAAACTGCTTCCTGAGGACTTGGGGTCTATTTGGGACCGTCATCTCCCCTTCCTAGGCCTTCCTTTTTGTACCATTAGTCTAAGCCTGGGGTGACCCTGGCTGTCCCCCAAAGGGCATCTTTTATCCCTTTCTCTTGGAGGCTCTTGGCACCTTTGCATAGTAGGCAAGTTTCTCCCCAACAGCCTGGGGAGGGGTGGAGGTGGGAGGGAGCGGGCAGCTGGGTGGGTGGGGTCTCTGACCACTGAGAAGCAACATCCCGGTGTATTCACAGCTCCACTCATCTGCTTCTCAGTACTTCTAAACCAAGAGAACCTTTTAAAGGCTCAGTGTGGGTGGGACTACAAAAAGACAATCGTCTAGGTCCCTCGCTTTGGTCCCTAAAATTCTGAGACTGATGAGTCAGATAGGTCAGATTCTTAGTCAGCTGAGCCTGGAGGCCCCTCTGTCCTCCTTCGTTGCTCTCACTGCGGGAGGTGTGAGCAGGAGGTTGACCTGGGACAAGCTTACACCAAGGGCTTACTCTGTGGAGCATGATCTCTGCCAGTTGTCTTTACACGCCACTGAAGCCTCATAATCCCATAAAGTAGGCAGTGGGGTGACCCTCTTTTTAGATGAGGAAGTCGAAGCTGAGAGGATTAGCACGCAGCCCATTTGGTCTCAGTTTTTCATATGCATACACGAGGGGCCAGCAAGGGGAGAGCATCTAATCACACTTCAAGAAGCCTCGAGAGCCCACAGCAGTGCTGCAGGACAAGCCCCTACACCCTGCTTCTCTGCTGGACCCACCAAGGCTTCTGATCAGATCCCGGATCCCGGGCTTTTTAAAAGAACTCTAGTTTGGGTTGGCTCTATTCTGGGTGTGAGCCTGACCTCTGGTGGCCACCTTGTTAGTTCATTTGCTCAAATTATTCACTGATTAAAAAAAAAAAGGCTCGGGGCGGGTTCTGGGCATGTTGTGGGGAAGCAGAATTGAATGAGGCAGGAGCTCCCTGCAGGGGCTCACAGGCTACCAGGGAGACCATTCCAGAAGAGGTGAAAAGTCTGAGAAGTAGAAGCACAGAGGCCATGAGATCACAGGAGGAAAGAAATAACGTTAAGCCCACACAATATTTATAAGGCACCTACAATATATATGATCTCATTTAATGTTTCTAACCTCCTTCATGGTACTTATGATTAGCATTCCACTCGCTAAATAAATGTGGAGGCCCAGAGGTGTTCAGCTTGGGGGTGGAGCTGGGATTCCAACTCAGGTCTCCTGACTCTTGGCTGCACCTGGCTGGGCCCGAGGGAGAGGCCCGGAGGCAGGGGCACGGGATCTGCTGGGTGAGGAGGACGAAACCAGAGACACAGGAAGTGTGTTCCTGGAAGAAGGGCCTGGGGTTTATGAGCAGGCGCGGAGGGTGTGAGGAATGGAGGGAGGAAGGGAGAAGCCTGCGAAGAAAGGCCCCGGAGGAGGCAGGGGCTGGGTTGTGAGGGGGCTGGCGGCCCTGCGAGGAAGTCCACGGGCTGTCTAGCAATGGGAAGCCATGAGGGCTTCCCAAGGAGAGTGAGAGGATTCTATTTGGGTTTTTTTTTTTTAAGATTTTTATTTATTTATTAGAGAGAGAGAGAACACACACAAGCAGGGCAGGGAGGAGCAGAGAGAGGAGAAGCAGGGAGCCCGACACAGGGCTCGATCCCAGGACCTCAGGATCATGACCTGAGCCAAAGGCAGACCCTTAACCAGCTAAGCCACCCAGGCGCCCCCTTATTTTGGTTTGTAAGGCTGGTTATGCTTCAGTGGGAGGATGGGTTGAGGGGTCGACCTGGAGCTGGACAGTATTGCCAAAGCCAACGTGATGCTGATCTGAGCCAGGTGTGAGGATCGGTGGTGGAGCCTGGCAGCCCAGAGGTGGGCTTCTGGGTGCGGTGACAGATTGCTGCAAGAGGAGTATGAAGTTAGGGCGACGCATGCTCCTGGCTGAGGACAAAGTGGCAGTCGTGCTAGCTCTGAAAGGGAACCCAGTTGGAGGAGCAGATTTGGGGAAGAGGTGGCGAGGTTATTTATTTATTCGTTTATTCAGTGAATAAATATTGAGTGCTAACCATGTGCTAAGAACTATTCCAGATGCTGGGGACATGGCAGGGAACCAAACACGAGTCTTGCACATGCTCCCTGTTGGGGGAGGCTGACCACAAGTAAAATAAGGGAAGCATTTAGTCCATCAGGTGGATAAGGCTATTATGGAGAAAAGTCCCACTGGAAAGGAGAATCGGGAACATGGCTGTGGTGGGGTAGGAATTGTAGTTTTCAATAAGGTGCTCAGAGATGGTTTCACTGAAGAGATGATGAAGGACTGAAAGAGGTATGGAAATGGCAGGTGCAAAGGCCCTGAGGCTGGAGCACATATGGGGTTTCAGGGAACACAAGGAGGCCAAGGAGCCGGAGTAGAGTGAGAAAGGGCTAGAGATGGAGGTAGAGAGGTAGAGGGTCTGGGGTAGGGGCACATAGAGCTTTGAAGGTCAATTGGGGCCTTTACTGTGAATGATGAAGAAGCCACTGGGGGGTTTTGAACAGAGCAGTGATATGATCTGACATGTTTTAAAAGGATCACTGGAGGTGCCGTGTTGACCACAGATTGCAGGGAAAACAAGGAGAGCTTGATCCTGATAATGCCAACATCAAAGGTGAGTGGAGAATGAGAATTCTATAAGGACGCTAAGGAGAAGCAGCTGAGAAGGACGAAGACCTGAGAGGGAGGAGTCAAGAAGCCAAGGCAGGCAGAAGTTTGCAAAGGAAGGAGCCATCGGCAGAGTCAAGTGCTTCCAAGAAGTCAGGTAAGAGGACTGAGAAGTATCCCCTGGCTGAAGCCATGGGTCCCTGGAAACTTGGTAAGGGCAGTTTGTGCAGATGGGTAGGGACGGAAGCCAGACCACCGTAGGTTGAGAGCACCACTTAATCCCCCCAAGCCCCGGGTCTGTATATTGATCCTAGAGTTGAGAGACCTTGGGAGGAAAGCAGGAAGGCACATTATGAGGAACTCGGAGAGCCTCTGGTCTCCCCACTCAAGCAGAGGGGTGGACCGAGTAGCAGTCCAAGGCCACAGGGCTCTGTGGTGCGGGAGCGTGGCCTGGAGTACAGGTCTCCTGGCCCCCAGCCAAGTAGCTTCCCAAGTGTACCAGCATAAGGTTAGTGCCACCACAAACGAACCCCCAAGTTGAGGGGTCAACACAATAACTGTTTATTTCTTGCTTAACCTTGGTTAAGCAATTAACCAGTGGTTAACCGATGGTTAATTTCTTGTAATAATCTAACGCAGGTGTCTGGTTAACTGGCATCTGTCTTCCACGAGGAGATTCAGAAGCACGGGTTCCTTCCATCTTGTGACTCCTTAACCATTTTTGTTCTGCATTCCTTTAAGAAGCTACTGAAAGCTACTAGAAAAAACTGCACACGTGCCCATCCACACAAAATTTTGCACACTTTCAAGAGGCTCATAGGCCCCATGAATCTATCAACAGAATCCCTAGGGGTCCACAGACCCAGGTGAAAACCCCTGTGTGGGTCCTTAGAGACCTCCCTGTCAGTTGGTAGGTGGGGACAAGAGTGTGAAATAGGCCCACCTACTTTTTAAAAAATTTTTTAGAAAGAGAGAGAGTGTGTGCACCAGGTGAAGAGCAGAGAGAGAGGGAGAAAGAGAAGCTCAAGCAGACTCCCCGCTGAGTGAGGAACCCGCCATGGGGCTCGATCTCATGACCCTGAGACCATGACCTGAACCGAAATCAAGAGCCGGATGCTTAGCCGACCGAGCCACCCAGGCGCCCCCCACCTACTTCTATAAAGCTCTGGCTTCCATTCAGTCCACTGGCCAAAATGACCTGACCCAGCCGATGGTGCCAGGGGAGGCTGGGAGATGTAGTTACGGGGACAGTGACACTGTGGGGAGGTCCGCTGGGGTCAGCGGACAGCTCGGCCCAGCTCTGACACGGTGTGCCCAACGATTACAGTGCTTCTCACAGAGATATTTTTAGGGTTTCATCCTCCCATGGACCATTTACTCCCTACCTTCCAACCATGTTCATGTTATTCTTTCCCCTCCAAGTTCTGCCCAATTTCTCAGAGCCCCGCTGAGGGTCCGTCTCCTCCAGGATGCTGTCTCTGGCCCCTTTGAGCTCATAATGCCCACCCTTCATTTAGTCTTGTTCTGTGACAGCTTCTTTCTGTTAGCATATAATGAAATGGGTCTGATTTTTTTTTTTTTTAAGATTTTATTTATTTCAGACAGAGTTAGCGAGAGAGAGCGTGAGCGGGGAGGAGAGGGAGAAGCAGGCTCTCCACTGAGCAGGGAGCCCGACCTGGGGCTCGATCCCAGGACCCTGAGATCATGACCTGAGTCGAAGGCAGTCGCTTAACCGCTTAACTGACTGAACCACTCAGGCGCCCTGGGTCTGATTTTATGTCCCACTGGATTGCGTCTTCCACAGACCCCCAGTGTGTCTGCTCCGTCGTCCTGTGCTCCTGCCCCACAGCCTCAGCATCCCTTCCAGGGTGGCCAGTGCATGTCCACTCATTCACGGCAGGCTCAGGACCGCAGGGCTGATGAGGAAAATGCAGGCTCTGAGAGTAGAGGAAGCGGCCCGGACTCCGGACTGTGGCGCAGCTTGACCTTGGCTCTGAGTCTTCAACTCCAAAGCTGAGGCCCATTCTGCCCCGGGGACGACGCGGTACCTCTGGCAGGACAGAGACAGGTCCTGGCTTGATGCCACTGGCGGCTGTGGGGGCTGTGAGCGGCCACAGGCCCCTCAGCACGGAGCAGAGTTGGTGCTCTGCGGATGTGGGTGTGCGTGGGTTTAGGAGCCGAGGTAAGAGAAGCTTCTTTGCCACCCCCCCGGCCCCAACAATGATTTTTTCCTCTTCCCTCGATAGCCAACCAGGCCCCTAATATCATGGGGAGATTTAGGCACGAGAAAGACAGCAGAGTGAAAGGGGGCACAGCCTGTCGCCTGGCTGCATACACCCCTGAGCCCCTGGATGCAGTCGTGGCTGAACTGAGGTAGCCCCACACTCCGGGGGACCGAGGCCAGTCCCACCCAGCCAAGTGTGGGCAGCCACTCTCTCTCCGCTTCTGCCCTGGCTGATGGGGGCTCCCACATTCTGAATTCATTATTCAGCTGCAGACACCAAGCCACTTTAGCTTCCCTTAATTAATTAAAATATCACACAAGAATCATTCTCTGATTTAACATTCAGGAGGCCCTGGCAAAGGCTGGGAACGAGGAAATTCGTTAGAGGGGACAGTTCACTCTCGACTGATTTGTGCATTCTTACTAATTTTTCCTGTGTCATCCAGCCCTGGGGGAGAGGGGAGGGCAATGTTTTTTCAAGATATAGGGTTAATTTGCTCAGAGTCGCCGCCGCCATGGCCAGCCAGTCGCAGGGCATCCAGCAGCTGCTGCAGGCCGAGAAGCGGGCCGCCGAGAAGGTGTCGGAGGCCCACAAGCGAAAGAACCGGAGGCTGAAGCAGGCCAAAGAAGCAGCTCAGGCTGAAATTGAACAATACCACCTGCAAAGAGAGAAGGAGTTCAAGGCCAAGGAAGCTGCGGCTCTGGGATCCCATGGCAGCTGCAGCACCGAAGTGGAGAAGGAGACCCAGGAGAAGATGACCATCCTCCAGGCCTACTTCCAGCAGAACAGGGATGAAGTCCTGGATAACCTGCTGGCCTTTGTCTGTGACATCCGGCCAGAAATCCATGAAAACTACCGCATAAGTGGATAGGGGAGGAAAGGAAGGAGCAGCTCTGCGTGCAGATTGGCATGTTAGATGCCTTCATGGAATACGAAGCTTCAGCAAATCTTGAGTAGTTACATCCTTGTGAAAAGGCATTACGTTATTTCTGTATATTATGTAGTAGGTCCCTTCACTTGTTAGAGAATAGCAAATCTAGCTTCTTTGTACAAACGTAGAGCTTATCCAAAGATTTTCTCCTTTTACCTCCTATTTCTTAGAAATTTAATGTGTGTACGTTGTCTGTTTTCCTATGCCTTTTAGCTCAAGCAACATATGTATCAGTACTTTTTCTTTCTTAGATGTAGTGAAAAAAAAAATTCTGTTTAAGAAAGACAGGGATTAAATATTTTTTTTCCCTAAAGCTTTCTTGAAGGTCAGGGGCTTTCTCTATGAAAAAGTAGTAAATAGTTACTGTAACTTGTGTGAAGCAGCAGCCGGCCTTAAGTCGTCCTTTCGGCTAAGGGTGGAACAGCGAATACTAGTATATATTGTTCGGGCTGCTCTTAGTTTCTCTTAATCAAAATTATTAGATGATAGAATTCAAGAACTTGTATACATGTTCTTACTTGGTGTACTGATAATCACTTGAAAGTAAAGACTTTGTCATGCAAAAAAAAAAATAGGGTTAATTTTACCACAAAATCTGAAGGAAAAAAATCCATTTTGACTAAAAATCAGACTTTTTTGGGAAAGGGGTACATTTGGGATTGAACACTGGCTTTCAAATGATCTCCTTTAAGGCCAGTTATAACTCAGTTGACAACAGAAGACTGAGATTCAGGCTGCTCACCCCCTGCAGCATCAGGTCTAACCTCCTCTGATGGCATTGTGATCATTTACTGTGAATGATGAAGAAGCCACTGGGGGGTTTTGAACAGAGCAGTGATATGATCTGACATGTTTTAAAAGGATCACTGGAGGTGCCGTGTTGACCACAGATTGCAGGGAAAACAAGGAGAGCTTGATCCTGATAATGCCAACATCAAAGGTGAGTGGAGAATGAGAATCATGGGGTGTGGCCTAAAACCGCTCTCCCCCACCCACCACTACAGCTCCTGGCAACCACCACAGGTCATGACTCCCCTTCACAAGCTACCCTGCACCTCTCCTTCCCTGCTCCTTCCGCATGCTGTTTCCCTAGCCCAGAATCCCCCCTACCCACTCCAATCCCCAGTTCAGATGCCTCCTCTTCCAGGAAGTCTTCTCAGATTTCCCCCTGCTCTGATCACCTTGTGCTGCCTGGCAGGACTGCAACCTCATCCCACTCCTCCCCACTTGAGTCTCACCCTCCTTTGTATTGATTTCTAAACCCTTCTGGCCTCCGTGTGCATGTGGGAAATGACAGAGGGCGCAGTTCTCTGAGTCAGTGAAATACTGGGATGTGTATCCGGTGGGAGACACAAGTTCTGAGGGGGTTAGAAGGATCAGGCCAGCAGGAGGCAATAAGGACTAGTTAAAAATTGTGAGTCAGGTGTCCAGGTGGGGCTGTGACCAGAACCCAGGTGTGAGGGGGGAAGGAGCGTTTGGGCTGAAGTAGCTGAGGTGGGCAAGAAAAGGGCAAGATGTGTCAGGGGTGCTGGAGACATATTGGTGGGCCCTGCTCCCACCCACGGCAGTGTTCCAAGGACAGAGAGACCACGAAACCACAAAGACTGTCTTTAAAAACATTTATTTTCAGATGCAGGGGTCATGTGACATCATCACATTTATGAAAATAGGGCAGAAAACACAGGCTTTGGGGGCACCATGTTTCTGAAGGGCAAAAACCAGAGCACAGTGCTCTCAGCCCCTGGACGGGTCTGGGGCTCCCCTGGTTGAAAAGTCATGAGGTTGGAACAATTCTGTTTTTCTGCCTTTTTGGTTTTGGTGAAAATTTTGGAGAGCGTTCATGATTATTATTATTTTTTTGCACATCCTTACCCTGCGAACCCAGCCTCCTGTGGTTTCGATGTTCAGCTCTGGCACCCAAGCGCTCCATCTGCCCTGCTCTCTGCGTCTAGACCCAGCTCTCCAACTGTGACTGGGCACATGTGAGGTGGGTCAAGTGATTTTTGCTGAATGTGCCTATCAGCAGATGTAGGATTGTTCTAGTACCTTCTCCAGGGCCGTAACATCCCTGCTTCTCCTGACAGTTTCACTAAGTGCCTTACCAAGCAAGTCTTCTCCTAACTATTCACACCCCAGAAGACTTAGCTGCAGACCCTGGATACAGAAACCCCCGTGGTAGGGCAGCGGGCAGAGTGGGGAGGGCGTCGGGGGTGCTGAGTAGGGGGGGTGTGAGCGGGTCCCCTGCAGCCCCAACCTCCAACAGACAAGCACAGCTTCCAGTTAACCAGTTTCAGCTCTGATCTTATTCAAAGAAAGGGGACCCGATGTTTTAAAGTTTGCAAACCACCCATCTAGTTTCGTTCCCTTCTTATTCAGATGAGGAAAACTGTGGTCCGGAAGGTGAAGGGGACTTGCTCGGAGTCAGGCAGCAAGCCAGGGATGAATTCCCAAATGGACCTCATGTTTCCAGATTCCCAGGCCATGCTCCTGCCATGTAGTACATGAGGGTGATACCACCGCACTATTTCAGATATGTAATGGCCAGGCTCAAAGGCAGAAAATTTAATTCCAAAAAGGATTCCAGAATGTCATGCTCAGTGGGAGCGGCCTGGGAGTGTGCTGTAAAAGCTGAGCGGGACCTTGGTAAGATCCCCGGGGCCCCTGGAACAGGCAGCACCTTCCTTTCCACAGCTAGGAGATTACCCGAGCAGCAGCGTGGGAAGGGTGCCAACCAGGGCCAGGTGCCCTGAGTTCCCGTCCTTCTCAGTGCCTCCCTCTCAGAGCCTGGTTTCTTCCTCTGCAAAGGGGGAGGGACATCTATGCTCACCCTGCCTGCCGTCCTGGAGTTGGGAGTGACCACAGATGGAAAAGCGCTTCATGAACTTGAAGGACAAGACACAAATGAGATCCCAATTCTGACTTAAAAACAAATTTGAATCACCTAGGGGGTCTATTTTTTCACCAAATATTAAGTACTCTTCTTGAAAGAAAGAAAGAAAGAAAGAGACAGAAAGAAAAAGAAAAAGAGAGAAAGAGAGAGAGAAAGAAAAAGAAAGAAAGAAAAAGAGAAAAGAAAAGAAAGCCTTATTCCTGGGTAAGGTCAAAACCTCTCCAAGTAAAAGGTATTCTACTACACTCTAATCCCACAGCCCAGAGAAAGAAGCCTCTAACCCCCTTTCCTCAGTTTGATGCCCAGAAGCCAGGGGTCCACTGTCCACCTGGTTAGAGAACGCTGAGCTTGCTGACAAGGGGACATCTTGGTCCCCAAACACCCAGCCAAGGACTCCATCTCTTTAAGGTGGGAAAATGGCAGGGAAGGAAGAGCTATGGCCAGCTCCACAGCCTAGCATGAAGCCACGGCAACTGTTTTGGAGGGAACTTAAAAGGGATGCTAAGACTATACCTCCCCTATTTTTCCCACAGGGCCATCTTACTCTAGGATGGCAGGGCTCAACAGGACACGGGTAACCTCTAGTCCAAACGCCGCATTCCCAGGTGAGGAGACAAAGGCCCAGAGAGGGGACACACAGCAAGTCAGCAGGCAGAGGACGGCGTGGCCCTACCCCCTCCTCCTACAACACACACTGATCAGTCACAGAGAAATGAGGTAAAGACTCACGGCTGACACAGGCCTTCTTTTTCCAGCCCTTTAGAATTACAAACATACCATCAGGTGACCTTCCCTGGGAGAGGTTAGGTTAAAAAAGAATTCTCACAGAGCAATTCCTTTCAAAAGTATAAAAAAGCCACATGCAGTCTGGTTTCCCAATGCTTGCCCTGCTAAAAACTACATCTGCATAGGAATCTAGTTTGCATCTAATTTGTAAAAACATACAAAAGGGGTCATCTACAAACACAGTTTCTCCAACTCTTCACAAGGAAAACGATGCATGACTTGACTCTTCCAACATCCTGTCATCAACGTTTCTAAGACCCTAGAAGGAAAGAGAGAAAAGGATGAGAGGAAAGAAGCCTGCTCTGTCACAATCAACTATGTGGTAAATGGAAGGTGGGGGAAATGATCCTTAACCCTAAATCTTCCTGGCCAGGGGTAGTGCTGGTGAGGAGCAGAGGGGCCCTGGGGTGTCCACGAAGTTCATGTGGGACCACTGGGTGCACATTTCACGGAGGCAGCATCCAGCTTAATACAAGGAAGAACTTTCAACTACTGGAAAACCCAAAGATGGATGTCTGGTGGTAGGGAGCTCCACAACACTGGAGGTAAGCAAGCAAGAGCTGGCCAGTACTGCATGTTGTAGGGGGAACTGAAGACCTATGTGGCAATGGTCTTAAAATTCCATGATTCTTTGTGGCTCTCTTTTGAAAACTCCTCTATAACAGACTACATTCATAGCCTGGTATCATTGTGTGTGTGTGTTTTTAAATTATATATATACTTAAAAATTGTATACATATTTAAAACATGAAATATGTTTACAGACACACATACATAGGTACATACATATATATGCACACAAGTGTGCAGGACAAAAGTCCTGGTACATGATATAACAACTATAAAAAGCAAAGAGTATCAGGAGGGCAACTTAAAGAACCATTTCCTGCCTGCACTCCTACTTGAGGATTTCCCACCTTCTATTTCCGTGCCTGCGTCCAGGAGCTCTAACTACTTCATCCACCATGCCACTTCCTCAGCGACATCTCCCTTGCTTTCCCCACTTCTAAGCCACTTCTCTCGCCTCAAACTCGCACACGCCCCTCGCTTCCTTAACACTGCACTTCTTGTATTTTTTTTTTTTAAGATTTATTTATTTTTGCGAGAGAGAAAACGCGTGTGAGCATGAGGGGGGGTGGGGGGCAGAGGGAGAAGCAGACTCCCCGCTGAGCAGGAAGCCTGATATGTGACTTGATCCCACGACCTTGGGATCATGACCTGAGCCGAAATCAAGAGTTGGCCACCTAACCAGCTGAGCCACCCAGGCGCCCCTGGAGCAGAATCTTTAAATGAGACTGTGTACCTGGCTCAGTGTCTCGCTCATCCCCTCCGCCACAAGAATGGACCTTCTGCACACTGGGATTGCTCCTCCAGCTGGGTCCCAGTGTGACAGGACACATGGAGCAGACACACAGCCAGCCGACCGGCCACGTGACAAGGAATGTGAGCAAGACAGAAATGTTGGTGGCTGTGCACCAGCCAGCTCCAGGGGTTGTCACGCAGCCCAAGCTGGCTAATTAAGGGGCTCGTTTCCTAGGTTCATGGCCGACCTGTGGGCAGGGGACAGATGCAACCCCAGCTCTCACCCGGGTGGGGGGGGCTATAAGGACTAAGAGCCGAGGGGCCAGGGGAGATGCAGATTCTCCCGGACACGCTGCTGAGCACGTGCGGTGCTGAGGACAGGGAGGTGAGGCCTGGAGACAGCAGAGCTGCCAACGAGGACAAACCTGGGGACAGCAAATGGAGCTCAGACTGTCTCCTTTTGAGACGGGTGCTGTCACAGTGATGTCTGCTCTCTCTCTGCCCCCTCTAGGACTTGAAGGAAATATTCTGTTCAGCTTCAGAAACAGAGACAACTGGTCTTTCCTACCTGTGGACACCCACAACGTTCCAGCTCCTGTGTTTGCACGCCAGGTGGGAGGCCCGGAGTGGTACGAGTGTTGAACATACTAGAGATTCTACCTGCTAAGTGTAGTATGTTCCTAACTCCTGTTTGGTATTCCTCTGGTTTTGATTGATGCATTTTTCTTCTTTGTTACTATACATCTTATAAGCCACCTCAATCTCTTGGGACACAGGTGTATAAATATGTAATATGTACCTGACTCCATCACATGCGGTCGTCTGGAGCTGGGGGGTGGGGGGCTGTGTATTTACTCAGATCTAGAACCGTCACCGTGCCGTGGGCCTGAGCCTCCCCAACCGCGTTGGCTGAAGAGCACAAGTACACTCCCTCATCTTCCTTTCTCAGAGGCTTGATCTAGAAGTAAAAATAGGCAAGTTTATGGCAAGGCAAAATCACTTCCTTATTTAGTTCCTAAGATACGTCTGAACACTTATTTTTCAAAATAAGATAGGGCTCACTATTCCTCTTCTTGCCTTGGTTGCCAAGAAAGAGTTAAATTTTCTTCTCTGTAGCCTCTCTACGGTGGCTCTCATTTTAACGTTTCCTTTGCATCCCTACCTTTCACTGTGAGCTCCCTGGTCCTTTTATTGACGGTGACAGGTACACCTCACAAGGAAAATACTGCCAGTTAAACGAACAAAAATCGACTGACCAAGGAATGGCCCACAAGTGCTCCCAATGGAGAGCCTTACAAAATAACACCAGAGAGAACATTTCCCCCTACGCCTTCTTGTAATCAAGAGGGGTAGGTGCTTGATTTGAAAAAGCCACACGGACCGGCTGCATTCCGAGGCTCCGAGCTGGGCGGAGAAGTCACCAACCCTGGCACAGACGGGAGTGAAGTGAGGCGGACACCGACCGGCCGTCCTCGAGCAGCCTGTCCTCACGGCCCTGCAGAGCGCACCCACACCCACACCAGCTCCCTCCTCTCTCGGCATGACGACCTCCGTCCACCGTGCAGCCTGGGCAGGGGGTGTGCACACGATCTCGTCTGGAACTCACGCTGACTGCGGGCCACGGGGAGCGCCGTTACCCTGATATTACAGGAGACTGGCAGTGAGTCACAGACTGTTGGGTGACAGGGCCCTCGGACCATGTGCAGTCCAAGGCCCTCCTCCTCCGACTGTGGACACTGAAGCTCAAGAGGCAGAGTGACTAGCCCAACATGGACCCCCGTCCCTCCCTCCCTCTTTCAAACACATGGCATTCCCGTGACTTAGTTAAGCTGCTGCAAGTGGCACAGCAGAGCCCCGAGGGGGGACACCAGTGTGCTGTCTTCCCTGTTTCTCAGCCCCGTGGTCTTGGGGGCGAGCGTAGTGGTCTCCTACCACTCATTACCACTTCATGGCTTAAAACAGCACACATTTATTATATTTGGTGCCTTTTTAAAAAAAACTTACCAAATATTTTATTTTTAAGCAATCTCTATGCCCAGCGTGAGGCTCGAACTCACAACCCCGAGAACAAGAGTCACACGCTCTACTGACTGAGCCAGCCAGGCGCCCCTATATTTAGTTCTCAAGGTCAGAAGTCCCAGTGGGAATCAGGGGGCTAAAATGAAGCTATCAGCCCAGCTGCCTTCTTCCTAGGGGCCCCAGGGGAAAATCCATTTCTTGCCTTTCCCATTCTAGAGGCTGCCTGCATTCTTGGGCTCACGGTCCTCTTCCTCCATCTTCAAAGCCGGAGATGGTGGCTCGTGTCTTTCCCATGCGGCCATCTCTCTGGCTCCTTCCCTCCTGCCTCCCTCTTCAGCATTTATGACTTTTTTTTTTTGAGAAATTTTTTTTTATTATGTTAATCACCATACATTACATCATTAGTTTTTTATGTAGTGTTCCATGATTCATTGTTTGTGCATAACACCCAGTGCTCTATGCAGAACGTGCCCTCCTTAATACCCATCACCAGGCTAACCCATCCTCCCCCCCCCCTCCCCTCCAGAACCCTCAGTTTGTTTTTCAGAGTCCATCGTCTCTCATGGTTCGTCTCCCCCTCCAACTCCCCCCCCATTCTTCCCCTCCTGCTATCCTTTTTTTTTTCTTAACATACACTGCATTATTTGTTTCAGAGGTACAGATCTGTGATTCAACAGTCTTGCACAATTCACAGCGCTCACCATAGCACATACCCTCCCCAATGTCTATCA